TAACACTCTCTAGCAAAGCTTTGCACTCTTTCTGATTAGGATTTTCCAGGAATCTCACTAAGGGCCTTACCTTTCCCTGCCTGTCCCCCAACTTTCCCTACAGTATCCCTTAATGAAATCTAGACTATTGACTTTCAGGATTCTGATTAGAACACTGCTTAGCCTTTCTTTGTGGGCCCACCCATGCCCTGTCCCTCTCATCCAGGATTTGCTGACACATTGGGTGTCACTGGGCTCTCTTTCAACCTGCACTTGGCATGTCCTGAACCTTGGAGTTAGATCCCTCCTCTGTTTGCAATACAGTTATGAAGAAACCTCCCTGTGCAGGGAAATAGCTGTGCAGAGAGGGAGTGTGAGGCCTGTGAAAAAAGTGGAAAAGGACAGCACAGAGTATGCAGAGCTGGGGAGACAGAGCCAGGCTACACCCTCCTTTGTCCCATTCACTAGCTTTGTGAGCATGAGGAAGTAAGTCACTTTACCTCTCTGTACTTTAACTTCTCTTTTAATCACAGGTAAACACAGAATCAGTATTCCAGGGCTTTTGCATGAATTTTCTAATCCTCTCTTATACTTTCTGGAGGGTATGGTATAATGCCAAGAGTCTCCTAAGCAGTCATCCATGCAAGTTTCACATTAATTAAAGGAGACTAAACAGTTTCCAGCAGAGCTGGGACCTAAGCAGACTGTAACACTTGAGCACTTGAGTGAAAAGATTCTTAGCAGGATCCTGATATGCACCTGGAGAATAGCTTTTTGAACTCCAAAGGAGATGCATACGCAACCCTCCAGCTTTCCATTGCCCACTGGCAGGCTGATGATCTAGAACTCCCTGAAGTCCTGCTGTTTTCTCTCAGTATTCATGTTCACTCTACTAGCCATACGTGGCGCCCAGTAGGGCCTTGATGGGGTAAGAGATGGCAGTGAGGAGCCAGGACTCTGTCCATTGCTCAGGGACCTGGGGACTGCTCAGATTTTTGCAGTGTTGTAGTGAAATTTGTATGTTTTTGCATTTCCTTCTTTGCATACCTAAGGTCTTAATAACTCTTATTGTTTTCTGCATAAGGCATTTCTCAATCATACTATTAAAAAGTCTTAGCCTTGTGCTCGCTTTGGCAGCACATATACTAAAATTAGAACGATTCAGAGAAGATTAGCATGGCCCCTGCGCAAGGATGACACGCAAATTCGTGAAGCGTTCCATATTTAAAAAAAAAGTCTTAGCCTTCTCCTAAAATCAGCAAAGTCCCCTCCCTAAAATTTCTGAGTCGTTCATTAAAGCCAAGCTGACCATCCTGACCATCAGTACTTGTGTCTGCTTGTAGAGCACTACTGAATCCCTCACTGTGCAGCCCAGTTTCGTGGTCCCTAGCACTAGTGTTGCCTTGTGCGCAGTCCTGATCCCCAGTGAGGGCTCTGTTTCAACCCTGTCTGATAGCAGCAAAAGACCAAAGCACACATTGTCTGTCATATTCTCTCTGATTTGCTCAATTTGTCAACCTTCACTGATACTACTAAAGGACTACTAAAGGTGGCTGTGTTTATAGGGATTCTGGAGGATTGGAAATGGGTTTTAGTCATCCTGGTTCTATTTCTGATACACTCAGAGCAGGCAGCACCAGGAGGCTCTCTGGAGAATAAAGGACCTCTTATCTGGGCCTATACCGCTCATTCATTCCTGCAGCATCATTGAGGACTCCATGGTGGGGCAGGATGGTGTGTCTCACTGACTAGGGACCCTATATGGTGGGAATGTCTGGTCCAGTGAGTGATCCAGGATGCCTTTTGTTTTCCACATGTATAGCTGTATGACATGTATTGAGTTTTCAGGATCCTGTTCTACTCAGTTTCCCAGATACCTTTGAGGCATCCTCTTCTGATTTGGTGCATGCTTAGTATTGGGACCATCTTTCTCAGTTTAACCCTCTCTTCTGTAAAACTGTGAGTTAAATTTCTGCTTTTATGCTTGTTAATCGTTACTACTTGTGCCTCTTCTCAGTTAATAAATCACTGGCTGTGAGTCTCCCTGTCTAGGAATCTCCTTGTCTTCAGCTCTCTCTTTAAACATTCTCAGTCTGTGACTTAGTCAATTCCTGGAGAACTCTTCCAAGATGAGCCATGACAGGGTTGCTATAGGGATTATGTAATGAGTTGAGGTTGTGCTATGGGTTTTTATCACTATTTCATTCATCCAGTTCCTGAGCTGTGTCTTTTCCTGTTACTTTTTGCCTAGATTGTGCATTATTATTAGTTCATTCAGATCTCAGTTTCTTTGAACACATGTTCTGCTGTCTTTGTGATTTACCTGTTATTAGCAGTAAGCAGTGGCTTTAGCCAGGTCGACATTCTTTTATTTTTTTGTCTTTTTTGAGACACAGTCTTACTATGAAGTTCAGGCTGGGCTTGAGCTCACTTTATAACCCAGGCAGGTCTAGAACTCACAATGATTCTTCTGCCTCAGCCTCCCAAGTGCTGGGATTACAGGTGTGTGCCACCATGTCTGGCTAGAAGCTAGGCCAAACTTTGTCAATGGAAGTTCATGTTACTGAGCTGATGCATAAGTCGGGTCTATGGTGACTTTGTTTATCAGTCACTGGGAAATGACAAGGGTGGCTGAGCACATAAGTTGACTGCTATTCACAGACCACATCATTGTACTCATTATACAGTGATAATGATTATTTTGCAGTACTGGGCAGTGGAGTCAGGACCTACCCATAGAGTTACATCTCCAGCTCTTAAGAAATTAATTAAGTTTTGAGACACAGTCTTCCTAATTTGTTAAGTAACAAGTATGGGCTCCAAGTCACAATTCTTTTGTCTCAGCCTCCCAGAGTGCTGAGCTTACAAGTGTGCATCTGGTTTCCACTTGATTATTAAAGCAATCTTTTGCTGAGGTCACCTTTTGGTAAGCATTTGCATGGAACACATGCATCTTTACATCTTTCACTCACTTGAAGAAGTGTATTCAATATCTCTTCAAAGGTCATTTTTTGTTGTTGTAGTACTGGGCCCTGAACCTATCACTGAGCTATGTTCCCAGGTCTTTTTATTTTTTATTTCAAGATATCATCAGGGTAAGTTGCCTGTGCTAGGCTTGAATTTGGGATCTTTCTGCCTTAGCCTTCTACGAGCTGGGATTACAGATGTGTGCCACCTCACCTCACTTCTCCAAGTGCCCTTCTCAACAATATATGCCTTTCCACTTCCTGACTATCCAGCCAGATTATCAGCTGCAGTCACTGCTGAGTCTTCAGTCTGGCAATACAGAGACCAACACTGAAGCATCTGAAATATCTGAAATGACACCCTTCTCAAGAGCTATTATGAGGTTCACATAGGATCTGATTCTCCCAGCTGCAACCTGCTTGCCAGCAGAGGCGCTATTGTCAGCAAGGAACTCACCTCAGCACCATAGTGGTCAGGCAAGCACAGGATGTCCTAACAGAGATAAAACAGGACAAGGAATTTTGCTGGTCCACAGATAAATGGAAACATTTGGAGATACTCAACATTTTTTACTGGACACTTTAAGAACTTATCACTCTGGACTAGGGATTTAGCTCAGTGGCACAAGCACTTGCTTGACAAGTCCAAGGTCATGAGTTTGATGCCTGGTACAAAAACAAAAACACCTTATCACTCTGTGCCTTTACTCATGTATTAAACCATATGCCTGTCGCTTCCACAAAAGCCTGTCAAATGGTTTCTGCCTCATTAGTTCTCTCACTCTTTGTTCATTAGAGTTATTAACCAGTGATCCAGTGGCAGGTTGATTACACTGGACCACTTTCATCGATGAAGGGTAGCACTTTGTCCCTACTGGGATAGACATTTATTCTAGGTATGGATTTGCCTTTCATCCACGTAATATTTCTGCCAAAACTACTATCTTTTGACTCACAGAATGCTTTAGGGATTAATATATTATTTCACACAGCATTGCTTTTAACCAACAAAGTTACTTTATAGCCAAAGTACAGCACTGGTCTTACTATGTCCCCCACCATCTGGAAGCAGCTGACTTGAAGGATGTTGGAATGGGCTTTTGATGACGTAGTTAACTGACAATACCTTGAAGGGTTTTTCAGAAGTCTGTATACTCTGAATCAGCATTCAACACACAACGCAGTTTCTCTCATAGCCATGACAAACCCATAGCAACGCATGAGTAAAATTTGTGCTTCCTGTTCTTACAAATTTAAGCTCTGCTTGCCTAAAGCGCACACTCTGGACACTCTTCTGCCTGGCCCTGGAAGCAGGAGAGGTATCTGGTCCCTTGGAATCCTGAATTTCCACCTCACGCTCCAGTTGTGTCCACTGCACACACAGCTCTTGTGCTGGTCAGCAGGACAGTCTCTAGCTGACTGGTAGTACATTGCAGTGAGGGTATATTGTAGAGGGTACCCTTGATCCCCGTCTCCCACTCTCTCTAGTTCTTGCATTTAGATTCACAAATAAGGCTAAAATGCTAATCGGATAATTTGTATAATCTTTTGTCAGATAACTGAAATGCCCAGTTCCCCCAAATTCCCTAAGGAAAAACACGGAGACCACATAGTCTGTGTCGGTCCCTTGTCCTGGGGCTCTTCCCATTTCAACTGGTACTTGAAATCCTCATTCCTTGTAAGGCACCAAAGAACATTCTCATTTGCAAGTGTCTTCTTCTGGTGATAGCTGCTAAATTAAAATCTCAGGTGGGAACACCCCTTTTTTGCCTGACTCGGGCAGCCTACGCCTTCCAGGACCCCACATTTGCTGAGCTTGTGAGGAAGGAAAGTCAGAGGTTAGCTTTGTTTTTTCAATCTGGCGGCTGTCCCAGGGCACCCTTAACTCCCTGTGGACCAAGCAGAGGCGGGTAGGTTCAAGGACCCGCGGGCAGGTGTGAGGAAGCAGCGGGCCGAGCTCTGCTGCCCGCTTCTGGGCGTCTAGACCGTGCCTGCCCCTGCCTCCCCACCGCTCCCAGCACCGCCTCTGACTCCCGGAGGTTTCTGGGAGCAGCACCGCGGGCGGTGAGAGGCTCTCGGGGTGGGCGGGGAGGAAGGCAGGCCAGAGGGGCGGGCCGGAACCACAAGGCCTGCCCTGCCTTCCCCGGTCCGCCTGATAAGAATCGCAGTTCTGAGCTGCAGAGACGCCTGTCTGCTTGGTCCAGAGAACCAGCATCATGCCCATGACACTGGGTTACTGGAATATCCGCGGAGTGAGTGGGGTGTCCGCCTGATGCACCCGGGCGCGGGAGAGGGCGCTTGGGACCGGGGCGTGAGGAACAGCTGGGGCGGATTGTAGGGACTACATATGCAGGGCTTGAGGGTTTGCTGGAGTCCTCTGCCTGTCCCTTTCAGCACTCACGCGACTACTATTCTGTGAGCCTAAGTGTGTGTGTGTGTGTGTGTGTGTGTGTGTGTGTGTGTGTGTGTGCGCGCGCGCGCGAGCATATGCCTGAACGGTGGGTGTTCTTGGAGTGTGAGGGACTTAGCTGGAGCAAGTGAAGTCCCATGGTCAAGGTCCTGTTTCTGATGTCTGCCTCTCCATCTCTCCCAGTTAACTCATCCCATCCGCCTGATCCTGGAATACACAAACTCGGGCTATGAAGAGAAGAGATACAACATGGGGGATGGTAATGGCACCCTCCGGTCCAGAGCCCTGCACAGTGCTGCTGATTGACACTTAGCAATCCATGCCCTGGCCACCTGTTGCTCAATTCGGCAACTTTCCTACAGCTGCACCAGGAGCCAGTCCCTTCCAGAAAACTTAATGCGGGTGAAGTTTGGTCTTAAGACTCAGGTTGCTGGAGTGCAGTTCTGGGTCTCAGTGTGGGTTGGACTTCTCATTAGAGTTTGTACTGATCTCCACTCCAAGCTCCAAACCATGAAATACAAGACTACTGGCTCAGAGTCCAAGTTCACTGCCAGGAGGTCTTGCCCCTGATTCCTCACGGGGGTGGGGACAGGCCCCAGGGAAGAGGGGGTTGGACTCCAGGACAGTTTATCCACTTTATCTTTTCAACCACAGCTCCCGACTATGACAGAAGCCAGTGGCTGAATGAGAAATTCAAGCTGGGCCTGGACTTTCCCAATGTAGGTAAAGGGTTGGGGGTGGTTTGGGAAAAGTAAAGTCTTCCATACCTCATCTGACCATAGAATGTCTAGGATCAGAATTCCTGTTCAACTATTCTCATTCCTGGTTGTGTACCCTGTCTTATTACCCACCTCATTCCCTTTTTGTGCAGTATATTTGTGGAAACTTGTCCTGACAAGCACATTGAGGGCCAGGTCTCATGTCTGCACTAGCTCAGGGAAGGGATGTTGGGACCTAGAATCCCAACTGACTTTTCCTGGCTGTCCATGCAGCTGCCCTACCTAATTGATGGAACTCACAAGCTCACCCAGAGCAATGCCATCCTGCGCTACATTGCCCGCAAGCACAACTTGTGTGAGTAGACCTGGCTTTAGGGATGGGGATGGACAGTGGTCATCTCCCTAAGCTTTGCTGGGGTGGGTTTCTGAGGGTGAGTCTCTGTTTTGTGGGTTTCAGGTGGGGTGACCGAAGAGGAAACGATTCGCATGGACATTTTGGAGAACCAGGTTATGGACATTCGCATGCAGCTCATCATGCTGTGTTACAGCCCTGATTTTGTGAGTCCCCCATGGGTCTGGAGGAGATGGTTTGGAAGAGGAGTTAAACTCTTGTGCTCACTACCCTGGATTTATGCAACATTTGAACTCTGCAATTGTATGCTGATGTGCCAGGGTTTCCTAATTCTATTGTAACCCCAGTCTGTGGTTCTGTAAACTGTCACTCCTCACAAGTTTTTTTTTTTATACTCTTTTTTAAAAATTTTATTTAAAAGGAAAAAGAGAAAAAAAAAGCAGAACAAAACAAAATAGTGTAAGGGTACAAGTAATTCAGAACTACAAAAAAACAAAACAAAACAAAACAAAAAAAACAGTAAGCTATCACCAGTTAATAGATTACTTGCTATCATCTTAGAAACGGTGTTTCAGGTACTCCTCACAAGTTTTGTGATAGATTCAGTTCCCCCCCAGTGGGTATTCTGTCCTTGATATGAACTCGTACTTTAAAATCTCTTTCAGCTCTCTGTTCTGGAACATCTCCGTGCACAGTCTGTCCTAGATTTACACACTATAAGGCTGCTTCTGGAATACAGGGACTGTAACTCTGAGAGAAAGAGGTGCAGTGTGAGGGAATGGAAAGCAGCTTGATCTTCAGATTTCTGCTAAACTGTTTCCCCAGTGCTGGGTACTTGACACCTGCATGATCAGAACACTTTCCTAATAGGCAGCTTAGACTCATCCAGAAGACATCTGTTCCTCTTCTGCCTCTTTTTTCCCTTTTCCTTATTGTGTATTGAAACCAGAGCCTTGTACAGCAATGCCTTGATTCACAAATGCTTCTGTTTGCAAACAACTCAGTGTGCAAACAAAAGTATTCTGTAAAAGTGGTAAATACAACTTCAGCCACCTTCCATTAAATTGTAAAACAATTTTGTAAACCAAGATATTACTATATTCGCTAGACAAATACTACTGAACTACATCCTAGCACTTTTTTTTTTTTAAATTTTGACCAGGATCTTGCTAAGTAGCTGAGCGAGCCCCACACAGCCTAGGCTGTTCTTGAACTTGCAGTCTTCCTTCACTTCTCACATAGTTTGGATTATAAACATATGCTACCAGGCCCAGCCTCCCTCCTTTCAACATCAAGTACTCCTCAGCTTTGTATATACAGCTCAAATATTCATTTTATTCTTGTTCCCTTTTACTAGGTAGGATTTCTTCTTATCTCTTTGGGTCTTTTATTATTTGCATCTTTGGCTCCACTGACATGAGTCTGAAGCTTGTCAGGAGCTTAGACACATCTCATAGAACCTGGTCTAGGCATCAATGGTGACAGAGTCAGGGACAGAGTTGTATTCTTGTGTGATTTCCCACCACTTCTGACAGATAGGGTCTCCTGCCAAGTGGGGGTCTAATAAGCAGTGATACGTTAAATGAAGGCCATGACACTGCCCCAGGCACAGCCTCAGAGATGATGGCTGCTCACCCCTGGCCAGCGAGGGCTTTGTACAGCACTGGCCAGTCTGGCCTCTCAGTGCAGGAATTTGTATATGAGGGTGGTGATCCATGATTTCTGCTCCAGGAGCAAAAGAAGGCAGAGTTCTTGGAGGGCATCCCTGACAAGATGAAGCTCTTCTCACAGTTCCTGGGGAAGCTGCCTTGGTTTGCAGGGAACAAGGTAAAGGGGAGGGAGATGGGGAGGAGGACTTGCCAGTCTTCCAGGTTATGAGCTTCCAGCCCATTCATCATCAGCTCTCTGCAGCTCACCTACGTGGATTTCCTGGCTTATGATGTCCTCGACCAGTACCGCATGTTGGAGCCCAAGTGCCTGGAGGCATTCCCTAACCTGAAAGACTTCATATCCCGCTTTGAGGTGACACTCTTGACTCTTAATATTCTTGTGTGTCCTTTTCTCCTTTCCGCTTTTCCTGGTTCCTCTCTAGAGCAGCAATTGACTTGAAAAGTAGCTAACATAGCTGTATAGTCTGGGTGTCTAGTCTAGCACCCTGTGTAGGAGGGAGAGCATGTAAAGAACATATGAGCAGCTTGCATTGGGAGGGCTGAGATAAGGCTGGATGGATGAGAAGTACCAAGATGCAGACAATTCATACCTGATTAGCCAAGCACTTTGCTCATATACCAGTAGCAGGCTGGAGATAGGGTAGGTTGGGCAAGTTAATACTATATTACTGAGGAAAGAAGAAATCCAGAATTTTTGCTTTCAGAGGATTGACTGGAACTTTGCTTAACTTGTTTTCTTTTAATCCTTCCCCCTTTCTTCCTTTTCATCCAGAATTTGCTGATTCATTGGGTGAGACTGGGCTCTCTTCCCATTGGCACTCAACTGTCTTGGCCTTAATCATGCTAGATTCCTCCTCTGTTTGCAAATACAGGCAGCAAGGAACTTTGTTGTGTAAAAGGAGAATGTTTGTGCAGAGAGGGAAAAATAGGGCACCCTCTGGACAGGGCAGGAGGAGAGTGAGTGCTGCAGAGAGCGCACAGAGCTGGAGACAGAACCAGGTTGCTTCCAGCTCTGTCCCCCTTAATAGCTATATAAGCATGACGAAGTTGCTTAACCTGTCCGTACCTCAGGTTCCCTCCTGATACAAGGTGATCGTAGGGCTGATGTTTTAGGGCTGCTGAGTGGATTTTCTCAAACTATGTTGTAACTTCTAGTGGATATAAAGTACCTTGCACAGTATTCAGCCTCCCTGTAGTGACAGAAATTGAAGAGTTCACTGACCAGAGCCGGGGACCTCAGCAGTCTGTCTTGTGCTCCAGCACTTGAACCCATGCGGAAAAGCTGTTCCTGGTGTGGGGCTGCTGGAGTTCAATGGGGCAGCAGACCTGAGCTCTTGCTTTCTCTTTCCCATCAGGGCCTGGAGAAGATCTCTAGCTACATGAAGTCCAGCCGTTTCCTTCCAAAACCTCTGTTTTCAAAGTTTGCCTTTTGGAACAACAAGTAGGACTGAATGCCAAGATGAAAGGAGGATCTACTGTGCCCTCGTCGCTACCCCTGGTGCATGCTACATCCATGCCTCAGTTTTCTCATTCCTCTGTTCTTTCTACTCTCTTCTCCTCTGAAAGGCCTTCTCAGCTCCCTTTTTTCTGATGATCTCCTCTCCCAGTCAAGTGTCTTGTGTGTCACCTCCCCACTTTTCTTTATGGAAGCCCCTCCCCTTCCCTGTGCTTGACCTACACTAACCAGACAGTCCTTAATTCTGATTTGAGGAGGCGTCCTGCCTCTGTGTTCCACCTCCCTCATGTGGAATCTGATGTACAGGCCCTATTGTTTTGGGTGCCCCAGCTGTGTGATCTTCAATAAATCCTGAAAAACAATTGCTCTGAATTTTTTTGTATTCTCAATTGGCTCCCTGGACTCACCAGCTATCACTGCTACTTTCAAGGAATTGTCCTCTGATTTTGGCAGTAGTGGGTTCTCAGGGTAAGCAGGATTTTGAGACTCTTCGGTTCCAATTCTGATACCAGCAGAGCAGAAAACCCCAGGAGGCCTGTATAGAGTAAAGGGACCCTATTCTGGACCTGCACCTCTCATTTACTTCTGCAGCATTACTGAGGCTTCATTGGGGAAGCAGGGCTGCATGTCTTTTGTCACTAAGGACTAAGGGTGAGGAGAGTTCCCATCAGTCACAGAGTGTAGTGATGCAGCCTCTGAGCTCTCAGCTCACCTGCAGAGCATATTGTTCTGATATAGGGGAATGAAACTCCTGACCTACCATGTCCATGAGTTTGTGTTCTCTAAAATCAAAGAATGAATTTTAGGAACAATGGAGATTAAGAGTAGAATATATTTATTGAGAGAAAGAAAGCTTCCACCTGAGGGACAGAAGGGGTCCCAACTGGGTTGTCCACGACTTTGTCTTTTCCAGGGACTTTTATAGAGTAAAACCATCGGTTCACGGTGGGGAGGGCAGGAAACTCACAAGGCAGATGGGCATAAGGTGGGACATAACTATAGTTAGCCAATAAGATCAATAGTTCAGGTAGAATTTGATTACACTGGGGACAAATGGGAAGCAAATCACATAGAAAGAGGGCATTCTTAGAGCTGTGACTTTTGCCCTAGGGTGGTGGGATAGTGACTCCAGGCTTTCTTAGTGTGACAGGGAACTAATTAGAATATCAGTCTTAAGGATGTGGATGAATTTGTTTGATCCTTTGTCTTGTGAGGCCTGGCCCACAGCAGGAGGTGTCTTATTTCCCCCACAGTTGTAAGGTATCTGCACTGGCTCCTTTGAGGACCTAGCCCTGTCTCATTGCCTATAATATTTCTAACTAATGTGGCTGCATGCAATAATCCCTGCAACAATCCCATCTCTGAAGAAGTAACCCAAATTGCCATTAGGGAGTAACAGGCCAACGACTCATCTAACTTCTTCAGGCTGAACAGAGTCACAGTGGTTGAATGGCAGTCAGAGGTATTTCTGCGGAGATCCTGTCTAGATAGACACCATTCATTTTCATCTTGGGTATGCACACAACTTTTAAGTCTGGAGGGGACAAAGCCAAAGAAACAAGTATGTATGGGCCAAAGAGTAAAATCAATAAGGAAATTACGAGTATACTTAAAGATTTCTACCAAGAGAAACTATAATTAATTCCTATAAGAATAAAGTTCAGGGAATTTTAGAATCTAACATGTCATTGATTTGTTATCTAATACCTTGAATAGCTACTGAGATATTAGCAGAAGAATCAGGAATGTATACACAGCATTCAGTTTTTACAATTATGTAAGTACTCCCTTGTGCTGCTGTTAGAACGTTTAATGCCATCTGATTTTGAAGGACAGCCTGTAATAAGAGATCATTTATCTCCTTATATTTTATTGGAGATCCATTGGCTGTTAGGTAATATTTTTTCATTTGGCTGTGTGAGCATGTAATAGTAGGAAAGTATACTTAGAATCAGTATAAATATTAACCTTTGTCCCTTGCTGAGTTGTAAGGCTCTGGTCAGAGCTATGAGCTCTGCTAGCTGACCACTAGCTCCAGGTGTAAGTGAGGAACTTTCAAGAGGATGGTATAAGGTTACCACTGCATATCCTGCCTTTTAAAAAATTTTCCATGAAGGAGCTGCCATCACAAAAGAAGGTTAAATCTGGGTCAGCTAAGCGGGGTGTCTAATAAGTCTTCTGGCTGCATATGTATGAAGAATTACCTGTTCACAGTCATGTTTATCAATCTCAATTTCTTCCTCCCATTCTGGCAAGAAGGTGGCGGGACTTAAGGAAGAACATGTCTTTATTTGAATGGCTGGTCCTTCTAGAAATAGAGTCTGGTATTTAAGAAGTCGGTTGTCAGACAGCCATAGACTCCCCTGGGAAAAAAGGAGCCCTGCCACATGGTAAGGTGTATAACAGTGAGATTTTTGCCTAAAGTTAGCTTGATTGCCCCTGGCAATAAGAGAGCTACAGCTCTAAGGCCAGCAGGCTATCCCTTTGCTGCAATGTCTAAGTCACTTAGATACCCTATAGGCTGTTGAGCAGATCCTAGATTTTGCATAAGCACTCTCAAAGCCATGCCTTACCTCTCATCTACATATAAATTGAAAAGGTATCCTGTGAGTAAGCTGGGGTTGGTGGAGCATTTAGAAGTGTTTGTTTAAACTTTTGGGATGCAGCTTGGGAATCAGGTTCCCAGCATAAATTATGAGTATCTGCCTTTTGGGTCTCTTTTATAAATTTATAGAGGGGTTGTATAATCTCCCAATATCTGAGTATCCAAAGGTGGCAAAAACCTGTAACTCCTAGGAATCTCCTTAGGTGCTTTAGAGTTTTGGGCTGTGGGAAGGAGAGAATGGGTTTACTTCTTTCCTTTCTTAGCCTTCGGGTCCCTTTGGATATGATGAGGCCTAAATATTTTACCTCAAGACAGCAATGTGGTGTCTTATATTTAGAAATTTTATAACCTCTATCTGCTAGAAAATTTAGCAGAGCACAAGTGCCTTGGCTACAGAGCTCTTCTGAGGGGACACATAACAGTACGTGATCTACATGTTGCAAGATTGTACCTGGGAAAACTCAAAACTTGTCAAGTCATGAGAAAGTTGTCTAAAAAGATGCAGACTAACAGGGGGAGCACAGTTGTGTTAATTGAGACACTGTGGATTTTTAAAAGCAGAAAAGAAACAGAATCTGTATCTAAAGGGATACATAAGAAGGTATCCTTTAAATCCAACACTGAAAACCAACTGGCATCTTCTGGGATCTGAGAAAGCAGAGTATATAGATTGGGTGCCACTGGGTGAATGGGCACTACTGCCTCGTTTATCAATCTAAGGTCCTGTACCAACCTCCATTCCTCATTGGGTTTCTGAATTCCCAAGATTGGAGTGTTGCATGGACTATTACAGGGCTCAAGTAAACCTTGTGTCTTTAGATTATCAGTTATAGGTATTGTTATAACTTGAGCCCCGGTATAAAATCCAAGGAGGCAAGAGACCGAAAATTTAGTGGCAAAGGCTTTATTTCCAGGCCTGGCGACCAGTCTCCGGGAGCCAATTTGGAGACCGTCCCCTAGAAGCTGAAGGGAGGACTTTAAAAAGGGGCTGGAGGAAAGGGCGGGGGGAGAGAAACAAAGAAACCTGTAGAGCCATCAGACTTGTTGACCCGAGTCTGGAAACTGTATTGCTGTCTATTTAGCTCTGACAGTCTAGGGAGTTCCTGGTGTTTTTTAAATTACTCCCATCCTGCAGACTGACATTATCTCAGAGTGGCACGTCTGCAGCAATATTTGGAGAAGAAAGTGGAGAGTTAATTATCTCAGGACAGCTTGTCTTTACTAGTGAGTGCGAAGGGGTCACAAGTTATGAGAGGCTGGAACTTAAGTTTTACAAAGACCTGATATCTAACTCATTTGATACATACAGAACAAAAGGAAAGCACCGATTGGGGTTTGGGCCATAGTATTACCCGGTAATTTGTTTAAGCTAAGCAGTTCTTAAAATTGGGGCAGGCTCATTTTACAACAGATCATCACCGGGTCGGGGGGGAGGTCACCAGAAACCCAAATTCTTTATGGCCTAGATAGATAGGTGAGGGGAGAGGGAGGCAATAAGGCGCCATACAGAACAGAAAACGGCGGTAATGTGTCAAGGTCAGGGTAAAGGGTTAAACTCACACGCAAATCTCTCTGCACACAAGCAGGTTACTTTAAACAAATGTAAATTAATTGCCATTCTAGTTTTCCTTAGCTCTTTAGCGGAGAATAGAGGCTCCTAGCAGTGATTAACAACCCTTGTTAGCTTGTTTTAGCACAGCTTCTGTAGTTTGTAGAGAGCAACAATGGTTAACATATCAATTAGGTGAGATTCTTGCAATTCTTTACAGAGGAGAGTGTTGCTCAACAGATCAATTAGGTCCCTTAACATATCAGTTAGGGAAAAAGGATAAAACAAACACATTTAGTAAGCCCCTATACAGGTTTGCTATAATACACATATAACAAAGCTATTTTCTTAGGGTACAACATTCCCCACTGATTTTAGTCAGTGTGTCAAATCATTGACTCTTTAGCATCTTTTTATAACCTTGTATGTGTCTTTAAAATTATAAGCTTTTAAGAACTTTGACATAGTTTATCAACTTGTTTACAACACAAGGCCCAGTAGGAGGATTAACAAAGGTCTTGTAGCTGTCATTAAAGCTGTTAACCAAAAGGAGAAAGAAAACCAACATTTAAATTTACTCTGTTTTATCATACAAGTAACAATTTTTAAGTTAGACAGAGGCCTCTTTGGGGTCTCTACAAAGGAGGAGAACACAAAATTATCAGTTATATTAGACAATCTTAAGCTTTAAAGTGTCCTTGGAAGAAATGACAGTTTATTTATCCGCAGGCTAATGGTCTTTTGAAGCTGGGACCTGTCTGCAGTGGGAACGTTGAATCCAGGCAGGCTTTCAGCTACTTTGACGGTCCATTGCAGCTCAAGTGATTTATGGTGAGGTCGCTTGTCTGGGTGCCTAGGCTCTTTAGCTCGCAGTGGGCAGCAGCAAAATAACCAGTGGATGGAAGTCAGAGCTGGCTAAAGAGTCTGGGGGAGACTTAATAAGATCTTGATTAGTTAAATCAGCTAATTTTTAGAAACCTTTAATGATAAGAGGAAGATCTCTTACATAAAACCTCAAAAGAGGAAATATCTGCAACATAGGGGATGCATCACGCACACAAAGGGGCAGAAGGAAAAGAGACTCACCCAGTTTTCGCCAGTTTTTAAGGCCATTAGTAATTATAGTCTTTAAAATATAACTTATCTTTTTATTTCTCCTGAACTCTGAGGCTGGTAAGCCCAATCGAGTTTTCTAATTGATCTGCAAA